GGGGGGGAGGGTAGGTGTAGTAGTGTGATCGGCAGGCGGGTTCGATTGTGACGTGGTCCGTGTAGAGTATTGTTTGGTACGTCAAGTGCTTTTGAAGCTCTCGGATCATCCCCCCCCCCCCTTGGGGTGTGTAGGTTGTCCTCTGCCAGTCCGTAGTCGTCGTGCACGAAGTAGCCGGGTCGCCTGTTTCGCCGCATGGTTTTCGTCAATATGTGTGTGTTGTATTCGTCGTGTAGACGGTTGTCTGGCCTTCGGCTGGGTCATGGTGCCGCGCATTTGGTGTGGTTCGTACAGTTGTGCGAACGTAGAATATTGGAATAACCTTTTTTTTGTGTGTATTTCTATAATCCGTTGGTCATGAATGGTTTGGTGTGGTGGGATGACTTGTATACCTTTGCTCCCCGTGGTACATGCGCAGATTGGAAGACGATGATCACAAGAAAGTGAATGCAAATCGTTGTTGCGGTTGCTAGCCCCTCCCCGGGGCGAAATGACCTTTCTGTTGTTCATTTTGAAAAGTGATCTATGGCGAAAGGCATTCTCATTTCACACTTTTTGCCTTGCTATGTAGATGTGCATACATGCAAAACATTTCAAATATTTCGCTCATCCAGTGTGTGACGTTCATATATGAAATCTTGGCATGCATTCACATCAAGTGATGTTCAACAAACCAAATCCCACATGTCGTGTTCGTTTCGTCGTCGCATCGATGTCAACAACACCAATAACACAGAAGCAAAATCAATGCGACGCATTACAATTGTGTCCCACACCAGAGATGACAAAATTGTTTAATATGGCTTGGCGATTACAGGCTTTGCAAACTCGTCGCAAAACAACGTCAAGAGATCGACCCTTCGCTGTGAAATCCAAAAACACAGACACTAACATGCCTGCAGGTAAAAACGTTCCCCCGTTCGTACTTTCCCCCACATGTACCGTTCGAGCTACCCCGAAAAAGATAGGGAAAAAAGCATAAGAAAAAAAAAAAACAGAAACTAACTTAACAATGACACGATTCGGGCCGCCTTGCCGAGCACATTCACACCGGCGACCACTGCCGCATTCGCAAGAAAAACTAATTGGAGAACAAAGGTCGCTCGCGGAAAGTGATGGCGGGCGAGAGCATGGCGTCTGCCAGTGGCGGTATCGTCGCCACGTGAACAACGTCATCATGGATCGACTGCCGCGTCATCATCGTCGTGATCATGGCGGTTAGCTTCACCATCGTTCTCGCGATGACCATCATCATCATCATCATAACTGCCATTTCGTCAAAATGGACATCTTTTATTTTTTGAACGAAATTGAAACCGAGTTTTTTTGCCAAAAACTCTTCAAAATTTGTTGTTCCTGAGGGTCCAGCATTTTACAAACGCTCGACCCTCAGGAACAACAAATTTTGGCGAGTTTTCGACCAAAAAACTCAGTTTCAATTCCGATAAAAAAAAAAAAATGTCCATTTTGACGAAATGGTCGTTTCATCATCATCATTGTCTTCATCATCATCATCATCATCATCATCATCATCATCATCATCATCATCATCATCATCGTCATCGTCGTCGTCAGCGTTGGCGGCATCATCATCTGCGTGTCATCCCCGCGGACGTACGCCTTCATCACCGCTGTCGCCACCGTGCCATGCCGTGCGTCGGACTGCATCCTGACCGTTCTCGCCATTCCCGGATTGTGGGAATATCGTCTTTCTCGGACGCCCGCCGCTGTCGTCACACCTCGCAGAACCACTCTTCGCATGGCGGCATCATAAGAAAATGCTTTTCTTCGACATCGTCGACATTTCCACATTCGAAGCAGCATCATCGTCACCGCAACGTCATCATGACGGTCGTCACGCAAATAGCTTCATGCCACGAATGCCGGCATATGCAGCGTGGACGACTGATCAATCGCACCGATTTCCCTGCCCGACTCATCTAGTGGACACACCATTAGTGTACGGTCTACTAGCGTGCTCATCATAAGAAGAATTCATCAAGGAAATAAGAGAAACAAAGAATGCGAACTACAAACGCAAGGAGTGAACTTCAATCAACACTCNCATCATGACGGTCGTCCACACAAATAACTTCATGCCACGAATGCCGACATATGCAGTGCGGTCGGCTCATCAATCGCACCGATTTCTCTGTCCGACTCATCTCGTGGACACACCATCAGTGTACGGTCAACTAGCGTGCTCATCATAAGAAGAATTCATCAAGGAAATAAGAGAAACAAAGAATGCGAACTACAAACGCAAGGAGTGAACTTCAATCAACACTCGATCGAACGACCTACATTGTCGACCAACCACGGATGGCGGCAACGATCTCCATAAGCGCGTGGCACATCATCCTCTGCGTTTCATCGACTTGTTAGAGGAATCGATCGTCTACGACATCAGTTCACCATGGCGGTCCATGACACCAGCGATCGACTCCAACGCCTGTTGACGTGCATTCTTCCGCTTCCCGCCTGCACCCCCACTGTCTGCGTTGTTGTCGGAGTCCCTCGCCGAAGAACGTTCTTCAGGGCAGCCATCACCGCCGCCCTCACTACCAGCAGACTCCCCACCATCCGCTCCTCGCCTGGGCAACTGCACCGCGTCCGGAATGCCGGCGTCGACGACGTTGGGAGGGAAAATTATGTGATTCCCCAACATGCCTCCATGGATCTCGTTGTACAACACCCTGTCCATCCGGAACTTGAAGTTGTTCTCCTTCCTTTCTTCATTTGACAGCCTGAAGAAGTCTGCCCTGTCGCTGACATTCTGAAACCTCTGTATCTTCTTGTAGTTTTGGAACAGATTGTCCCACTTCTTCATGCAGTCGTCGGCGTCTCTAGGCCTCCCCGCCTTCGCCATCCGCTTGGCGATGTCGTCCCATTTCCACTCCTTCGTCCGCATCCGCCCGTAATTGTGACCCAACTCGGCAAGGTGCATGTCTTGCTCCCGCTTGCATCTCACCAGGAGCAGTTGGTCGTCTGTAGACCAGTACGTCGCAGACTTCCCGCCGTCGTCGCTTACGCCTCCTCTGCCGCCACGGCCAAACGGATCGACCACGAACAACACCTTTGCTGCGTCCTTTCCCTCTCCTGGCCGTCTTCCCCAAAGGCCGAATATGAATGTCATTGTCGACGTCCCATGCATTCGCGTCCTCCCTGAACCCTTCGTCGACATCGTCACGGCCACCGACGTCGTCATTGCCACCATCGCTGTGTACCCACATGTTGGACACTCCTCGTGTGATGTTCTCCACAGTGGGTCCTGGACGCACCGGTGATCTGCAAGCGAGCTCGTCCCTCACGTCGGGTTGGGTCGGCATTGTGCGGTTCGACATCGACGACCGTCCACCGCCGATACGTGCGGGCCCTACTGCGACTCTACTGCATGCGGGGCAGGTTCTTGTCATTCGTTCGGCGGGCGGCGCAGTCCATCCATGCTGCCGGGCTGGTAGTGACGGCCCAACACCTGTAGTCACGGACGCACCGCCATGAAGTGTGGACTGCTCGGTATGCTGACTTCCAGCACGTTGAAGGCCACGTGGCGAAGGATCGGCGTCGATGATGAACGTACAGGTTGCCTCCCTCGCGCTGCCGGAAGACAACCTGAACCTCAAATCGACTCCCCTGTCGTCGTCGTGTCCCAAGCCTTGCTGCAGGAGGGAGGTGAACTCGCCACCTTTATTGCTAGTTGACCCGCGTGCTCACACCGTTTGCGACAGCATCTACGTCGAGCCGCTACCGAGAGGCAACGTTGGAAGTTCTTCCGTCTCCGCCTCCTCGTTTGACGGGGGCAGTGGCGTCTCCCACGACTCTAGATGGCTGTAGAAGGATGGGTCGTACCACCGTCCCAGCACCGCCGATGCAGGTCCTCTTCTGCCCTTACCTGCGGCCAGTTCTGCGCGTGCTTGCATGCTCGCCATCGGACGTTCCCCTGCCGCCCGTTTTGTTGACGCCCTCCGCTTGCGACGTTGCTTCCACGACCGACACGACAAACACACGTGGAGGAAGACGACAATCAGGAAGACGACGACAACGAGTACCAGCAGAGGCAATCTCCTCTCCGCGTCCGCTATCAATTTCACCTCGGAAGGCACCCGTCCACGTGACTGCTGCAGAAGTGTTTTCCCACATGCCGGTGGATAGAGCCGCTGGACCTTCATATGCCGACAACCACCAGAGAAGACGACAAACGTGGACGCCTTCGATTCAAAAATCAACCGTTGGTGCCCACGCACTGCCCGAAGCGCCTCGGTATGTCGTCCTGTGCACGTCGTCCTCCTCCTTCGCTTCCCGCAACCCAGCCAACGGTCCACTAGGGACGACCGCCCGCCCCTGCTCCCCCCCCCGTGCTCCACCACCGCCAACGGCTACCGTTCGTGGCCGTTGCCTGCGTCGACCCGTAGAAAACCTCCGATGTCCGACCACAGACCCGACGGACCGCTTCTGCACCAGCAACTCCGTGTCAACTGTGCCATGCGCGCGACGCAACGAGTCTGTGAAACGCGGGAATCCTAAATTTTTCAGTAGGTCGGGGGCTACTGGAAAATTTAGGACGATTTGCCTGGGGAATCCTAAATCCTTTAGGACTCGTCCTAACGCCGTTTTCACATTTTCGATCTCAAAATTGGATTTAGGATTGCGTGCAACCAAGACGCAATCCTAAAAATAGGCACTTTTAGGAGTGTCTAACGAGACCCATAATCACAAGTTTTGTTCAAACGGAAATCAGAGCACAGTGGTGCAAGGTTAGAACTACACTCAAATCACTAATGCAAAAACAGGACATTACCAAAACTCTTCATCAATTCCAAACTAATTGGCTGGGGGATTCATCAGGGCAAAATCTGGGAGAAATCAAATGGCCTGGTGGGAATGGAAATGCAGAATTCAAACGGGACTATGATATCATGTTTCACAACTGGTTCGAATTTCAACCGGGATCTTCTTTGAGACCCCCAGACTTATTTCCATATTTCTTCCCTCCTTCGGATTTGGCTATAGTTGATCTTCAATGGTATGGGGCAGAATCTGCATGAGAAGGCCTACATTGCTGCTTCTTATTATTTCCAGAGCAGTAGGAATGGGTGTAAGGTGCATCTAGCCTGTTGCATCAGGTTGGATCTGGCGGCTTATATCTAAGCTGAAGAGGCGGTCATGTTGCATCTGTTAAGCCTTGTTGGTTTTCATAGATCTCGAAGATACATAAGCGGGTAGACTGTGAGGACCCCGGCATCATTTTTTTTTTTTCATCCGAATATCAAGCCTTGGGCACTGGGCCCCTTAAAAAAAAATAAAATAAAAAAAATAAAAAAAATAAAATTGTCTGATGTTCTGTTTGTTATCCTCACAAGTGGACCCCGCCACGGCTACGCCGTGGCCCACAACAACACTCTCTGATGGCGACAGTTTGCTCATTCTATCGACGCAAGTAGCGCGCGGCGAGGCGCTGCGTTGGAGACTTATCGGCTCTCTCT